CACGTTCATTACATTGGTAGGGTTTTTCCTCCTGTTTGAGCCCTTTGATGTCCAATTAGTGACGTTCTATAGCAAAACCATTTTGGACATTTCTTACATTGATAGAGATTTCCCACCAGCATGAATTTTCAGATGTTCGGTAAGTTGTATGCTTCAGCTGAAGGTTTTCCCACATTCTTCACAAACATAGGGTTTCTCTCCAGTATGTGTTATCTGGTGTCAGTGGGATGTGCACTCTGGTTGACGGCCTTTCCACATTCATTATACTCATAGAATTTCTCTCCAGTCTGAATTCTCTGGTGCTGAATGAAGGCTGGAGAAGAATGGCTGAGGGCTTTCCCACACTCATTACATTCACAGGGCCTCTCTGCTACATGAATGCTTTGATGTGAAGTCAATGGTGTATTGCGGCCAAAAAAAAAAAAAATTCTGCATTCCTTCCACTGGAAGGATTTCTGCACAAATGTCTCTTGTGCCCATGTACCATGCAGCCCAGTTCTTTTGTTCTTACTTTATGGAGCATATGTATATTTCCAAGTATCAGCCACAGACACTTGAACAGAATCAAGATTACCCACACTTCTGGTCACTCTAATCATCTTAGTCACGCTTCTAGAATTCTTCCCTCACTTTGCAGTGGGTATGATTGACCTGAGCTTTTGATCTTGCCAAAAACACTCATGTATCCTAGTAAATTATCCCCTTCTGTCACACAAATTCAAGCCTGTCCTAAGGCTAAAATCCATAAAAATGTGATCTAACCCCTTATCATTCCCTTCCTTCAGGTTTTGACTCTCACATAATCTGTCTGCTTACATAAATTCTCTAGTCCTTCTTGGGCTGTGTGTGTGTGTTGACTAGAGTTTGTCATTTTCATCTGCGCGAGGGTTATGCCTAATATGCATCTACTTTGCCATACCAGTAAAATTAATCCATGAGAATGTTATTTAGAAAACATAAAACTTAAATATAACCCCATAATTCTAAAAGAACCATTGTCCACTGTCCATGCAATGATAACATGTACTTTTGAAACACAAGTCATATATGTGTGTGTATACATATGTACGTATTATTTGGTAGCCTGGCTTTTACTTAACTATTGAAGACATTATTAATTTGCTCCACATTTATTTTCTAATGTCCATGTCTTTCTTCCCTTTACTGTAAAGTTTAAGAAGCTAGGAGGCTGAAGCAGGAAGACTGCATGTTCAAGACCCACCTGGACAACTTAATAGCTTAGCAAGGCATTGTCTCATAGTAAAAAAATTAAATGGCTGGAGATTTGGCTCTGTGCAAAAGCCATGGATTCAACCAAGGAGTAGAGGGGAGAAGATGAAAAGAAAAGGAGGAGAAGAGGAAGCAGGAGGAGAAAATGAGGAGGATGAAGAGGAGGAGGAGGAAGAGCAGCAGCAGCACAAGAGAAGAAACCGAAGCAGCTAAAGATTCCATTTTTCAAGCTCCTCTTGAAATTAAGAATGGTGGTATGACATACATTCAATAAAATGTTAGCAAACTGCTGGGAGAATGTGTGGAAAAGTTTTGTTTTCTTCAATATTAGATCACTCACTTGATGCTTGGTGATGCATCAGTAAAACATATTCTTAACTGAAAATGAGATTATTTACATCTTTATAAGTATAGTGTGTAATCATGATTTTACTGTTATTTCATTTTATGAAGGTATCATTATTTGGTCAATTAACTAGAAATGCCTATTATATCTAATTTCTCTCTGCTCTTTGTTAAACTTTACAGCACAACCTGATTATATACTTTAGGGTAGATTCACAGAAGCAGGACTGGGACATTTTCAGGTTTGACATATACTGCTGATTCTTGCAACTTGGATGACTTTTACTACAAAAAGTAGTGCATGAGTGTTTTCTACTTCTCTTATGAATCTAATTATTTGTGAAATCTTGACTTAATGAAAAGTTCCTATTTTTTCTCTTCATATTTGAGGTGTTCAAATCTTTATCTCTCTGCTCTCTCCAGACTCTAAAAGACATATCTGGAATGCCCTTTCATATTCTCTTGCCACTTGCTTTTACTACTGAGATTACTGCCGCCTCCCCAATATTTCCACCCATATTCCATTTTGTTTCTTGGTATCTGATGACCTTTCATACTGTATATTTATTGTCTATCTCCCTCTGTAGAACTCAGCTGTGAGGACAGACATTTTTCATTCTTATTTTGTTGACTGTGCTCTAGCACTTATAATGCTTAACACGTGATTAGTGTTACTTACATAAATATTCTTAAAAGTTAATAACATTCTATGGCTATGTCTCATATTTATGTTAAATAAGATCTACATGTTTTTAAAATGTACTTATCAATGATTTAGATCAAAAGTTTTTAAGAGTGTGATCCCCAACTGGCACCACCTGTATATCCTGGGAACTTACAAATGCAAATTCTTTGGTCTCAACCACAGAATTTCTGAATTAATAAATCTGTGATCAGAGCCAAGAATGTGCATTTGAAAAGTCCATGTTTTTTTTTCCTTTGGTACCGGGGATTGAACTCAGGTCCTTGTGCTTGTGAAGCAGGAGGCAGAATCATTGAGCTAAATCCCCAGCTTGAAAAGTCCATGTTTTAACAAATCCTTCAGGCAATTTTGATTTACACCAAAGTTCATGTATCACTGACTTAAACTCATCTCTGTACGTCTGTTTTTTTTTCCTCTGCTCACATCCACTGTTTGTTAGAAATCACTTCCTCATTTGTTGATGTTCAGTCCAATTCATTTCACTGAACAAAATGGAGTTTAGCATTCATTTTTTTACTGTCCAGGCATACCTGTATTTCTGACTGTACCATGTTTGCACTATTAGGGGTTCTCCTAGAGTTGTGGAAATTCAATGTAGCCATAACCTGGAACAGATTTATCCCTCTAAGAAATGTAAGTTTACTAAATGTCTGCACAGTGATACTCATTCTCTGCATAGTGCCACACTTCCACTTGGTAAGAAACTACTGATGTAAATGGCTTTTGCGCTACATTTTCTTGCCGTAAGAGTGAAGGAAATTACTAGGAAATGAGAGCACAATATCTACGAATTGACCTTTCAGCACATGCATGGGTGTGAGCACCAACACACATTCATTCACAATTTAATTTTGTAATTTTCTGAAATGAGGTTAGGAAAACAGGAACTTAGATTGGAAACATTTGGAGATGACATTTAATCACATATTTGTTTAGGGATCATTATTATGCTAGACTACTACTTGGGAAATATTTACGAAACAGGATTTTACAGGACCCATACATTAGTAGAAGTCTAGATAACTGACCCATACATTAGTTCTGAGGAATAAACAAAATAATGTAGTGAAGTGCTGTGAAAAATATAAAAGATAACATACATGTCACTTACATTTTACAATATTACATATTAACAGTATTGTATTAAATATTAATACAATAATTTACAAAACCATTTTTTGTACCATGTTTTTAGTGTAAGAACTTACATTTATTATTATTATTTTTTTTTTAGGTACCTGATTGAACTCAGAACCTTGTGGTTGCAAGGTAAGCCTAGTGCCATTGAGCTAAATACCCAGCCCCAGAAATTAAATTTTAAGATAGTGCAGGTATATATTTTTTTGTCGAGGATTCAAAAGTTAAAAAACAAACAAACAAATATTCCCCTAGATATGCAATGGCAAAATGGTCTCTTGTGCAAATTCAAGTTGATTCAGGATATCTTCTGGAACGCATGCTTAAGAATCTTCTGATGTCAACTCTGGGTACACTCAGAAAGAGTGCAGTATGTTATTAGGTAAGAACAGGGTATGGTAGCATTTGTTGCAATACATTTTAAGTCCTGATTGAGGTGTGTGTGTATTAGTACTCTGAGCATAAGATAACATGGAGTGATTGTTCAAAAAAGCACTGTCATTCACCTGCAATTACAATTCATCTGTTTTTAATAAAATAGCATATAGAAGAAGCAAAGTGCTGTTACATCTGTAACTCATTATGTGAATAAATGGACTTGTGTTTGGTAAGTGTTTGTGAATTTAATACCCATGTTTAAAGGCTGGGGATTTAGTTCAGTGGCACCGCACCTGCCTGAAAAACACAAGGTCCTGAGTTCAATCTGTTACAAAAAAAACAAAAAAAAAAACCCGAAAAACATTTAATGCTATCTCAGATTCATGATCATTTATGAAAAAGCATAGGAACCTTTGTAATCTGTCAAACACTGTGCTGTGCGTTCAGCAATATTCTTAAAGTGTTGATGTGTATTAAAAGTATTTTAATTGTGAAAATAAATACACATATATGATATTTATTTAAACAGTACACTAAAAAAGAGGTCTCATTCCCAACCCAGACAGTACTCCAATACTCCTGTGCCCAATGGCAAAGTTCTTATGGACTTTTTAAACAAAATCTATTCATATACAAATATATGAATATATACATACATACATACATATACACACACAGGTAAACATGTCTTTTTGTACAAAAATAGGAACATAATGCATGCATGGTTTCGTTATCTATTTTTTATATTCATTATCAGCACATTTGTATTCTTAGCTGCATTTTTTCACTTTTTCTTAATTTTCTGTTAATTTTTAAAGTAATAAAAACCATTTTATAAAGCTTTCTGCTGAGACAGAAGCCAATATAGACATTAATTGAAAAAAAGGACACAATATTAAAAAAGGCTTATAGCCACAATCATACAAAGCAATACACAGATATACAAATTCAATTCTAATAAGTGGTGCTTAAGTACACAAGATGTAAGCATCTCAAATTGTTAGCATATGCAACTTGCTTCATCACTGCTTTGATTATTCAAAGTTTGAAGCTTTATATTTCAATCTAAATATGTAGATCACTTATAATTTCTCAAAACAATATTTCCATGGTGTGTGGAGGGGCACACCTGTAGTCCCAAAACTCAGGAGGCTAAGGCAGGAGGATCACTGAGAATTCAAGGCCAGCCTGGGCTAAACAATGAGTTCAAGGTCAGCCTGAAATATATAGAAAACAAAAACAAAACCAAAAAGAGTATTTTCTGTAAATTATTTGGTACCACATTAAAACTCTCATTTCTACCCACTGCTTCTATGTGAAGATTCACACTCAATTCTCTAATGTCTAACAAGTTGCGACTTCTTACTAGAGGGTTTCTAATATTCTCTAAGTTCAGAATATGTAATGTTTAGTTCAATTATCAGATTTCCACAAATTGATTTCATTCATGAACTTTCTCCTTTAAATGAGTTTTCATATGCTTGTTAAGTGATATATTTTGTTTGAAGGCTTTCCCACATTCATCACATTCATAGGGTTTCTCTCCTGTGTGGGATCTCTGATGTATAACAAGTTGTGACTTTGCATTGAAAGCTTTTCCACATTCATTGCATTCATATGGTTTCTCACCTGTGTGAGTTCTTTCATGTACAATGAGATGTGACTTTTGGCTAAAGGTTTTCCCACATTCGTTACATTCATATGGTTTCTCCCCAGTGTGGACTCTCTGATGTTGAGTAAGTCCTTCAATTTGTTTAAAGGCTTTCCCACACTGATCACATTCAAAAGGATTTTCACCTGTATGAGTTCTCACATGGTAAGTAAGAGATGAGCTATGTCCAAAGGCTTTTCCACATTCATCACATTTATATGGTTTCTCTTTTGTATGCGTTCTTTGATGTATAATGAGGTGTGACTTTTTGCTGAATGTTTTCCCACATTCATTACATTCAAAGGGTTTCTCACCTGTATGAATTCGCATATGTTTTGTCAGGGAAGAGCTATATTTAAAACCTTTGCCACATTCATTACACTCATACGCTATTTCACCTGTATGAGTCCTCACATGTTCAGTAAGAGATGAGTTATACCTAAAAGATTTTCCACATTCCTTACATTCATAAGGCTTTTCACCTGTATGAGATCTCACATGTTGAATAAGGTTTGAGCTGTGTCTAAAGGTTTTTCCACAGTCAGTACATTTGTAGGGCTTTTCCCCAGTATGAATTCTTAGGTGGTCAGTGAGGGCATGTTTATGACCATGAACTTTGCCACATTGAATACATTCATAAGGCTTTTCTCCAGTGTGAGTTCTCTGATGTACAACAAGGTGAGATTTCTGGCTAAAGGCAATTCCACATTCATTACATTCATAGGGTTTCTCCCCTGTATGAGTTCTGTGGTGGTCAATTAGTCCTTGTTTATGGCTGAGAACTTTCCCACATTGATTACATTCATAGGTTTTCACAGAAGCATGAGTTTTATCAGTTTTAGTAGATGACTTCTCACGTTTCTCTCCCATTTGGAGTTTTTCTTTCTTGGTACAGGATGAACAATGCTCATACAATTTCTCTTGCTTCTTGCCAGTTTGAGTTTTGTCACATTGATCAGAAGAAGTATGGTTGGATAATTTATGTTTCTTTCCAACTTGATTTTTATCCTTCTTTGTATCAGATAAACCATGCTTTAATGATTTCCTCTGTTCTTTAGCAACACCAGACTTCTTTTTTGCAGAGTTTTTTATATGACCAGGTGAATCTACATTTTGTTTCAAATTCTTCCCATGTGAATCAAATTTAAACTTTTTATTTGCAGGGCTATGCTTTGTACTCACATTATTTTTTTTCTCCAATGAAGAACACTCACTGCTTTTCTTTTTAGTTGGAGTTTTCTTGAATACAGGTTCCTTAATGAGTTTATCTTGAGATTTCAGGTTATTCTCTAGCTGGTCATCATCTTGCTGAACATCTAAAGTAGAATTTAATGACACATTCCTGTGAATTTTCAAACACTCATGTGAGTTTTTATAATATTTAGAAATATTCTGCTGTGGGATTGAAAGAACCAACAAGAGCAAACATCATAACCTCTTAGACTTGAGGGAATAAATTTTGTAGTAAAACCAAGGAAAGAAACTTGATAACAGTGATTAGAAACGAGTTTGGCTGCTTAAAAAATATGACCTTGAGGACCAGAAATTTAGCTCAGTGGTACCTCCACCTGCCTCCCTAGCGCAAGTACCGGAGTTCGATTCCAGGTAACAAAAAAAAAAAAAAAAAAAAAAAAAAAAAAGA